TGCCTTGCTCTGGACGAAGGATTCATGACCTTACCTTGTTATGTATTGATAATCAACATTACTTTATTCAAAACGATTCAGTAATATTATGGCCACAATTTGGATCGAAAACTGATTGCAGAGATTACAGACAATCTGGTTGGAAATTACTTCACAATACACAGAATCAAAATCTTGATCCGGTATACTGGGTAGATAGATCAATTAATATTCTAAATGAAAGACGTGCACTGAGTGGATTCGCTAATTTGTTTATAACTTTGCGTGGCTCTCCGAAACCTGCGTCACGTACAGTTATTGCTGGATGGATAAAAACTTTGTTGAAAGAGGCTAAAATTCCAGCTACACCAGAAATAAAACGCTTATTAAACTACTTACCTAATTAGAAGCTTAGTTTTTACATCTGCCTGGTGCTTAAATATTTCGACGCAATGACAAACAAAATGGCGCGTACGTGACATCTGCAAACACTTCACCGCGCCCCGCCAGGTAACGCCACTGAGCGCGAATGTGCAAAAGAGACGCCGCTATAGCGAAGACAGAGAAGTAAAATTCGACGGGAAACGGATATGCCTATCTCAATATTTTAAGCTTCTAATTAGGTAAGTAGTTTAATAAGCGTTTTATTTCAGGTAAAACGCCACTATTATCTAATATTTAAAAAAAAAAATTTATAATTAACTCATTAAAAATGCCCCTTTCTATACTATTTGTCCTCGAAAGAAAATTTGTAAAATTTCAAATCATAATTCTAATTATATAAAAAACAGTGAAGATTTATCTGTGCATCAAGGAAGTGTCAGGTCCAAATTCCGTTGTATTAATATAGCCGAAAAAGTATTTGGAGTCATATCAGCGTTTTGAGTATATATGAAATTTGATTTTCGGAGAAATAAAATAAGCCTTCGAATGTGATGTCGAAATTGCCGAAAGTTTCGGCAACATTGGAAGTTATCAGATAAAGTTTCGGATAGTTTACCTGAAAAAAATGGGAAGTTTTGGAAGTATAAGGGATATAATTCTTTTATGTTTATTTGTCTTTCTTATTGATGAATTTTCTTATGGACATGTAAGTATCGGATTTAATGATCGACAAAAAATGAAATAATACATACTTTATATAAGTTATCCTTACATAGATCAAAAATGCAACTTACAAACACAAAAAACATCAAAAGTACCTTGGATTGTTTTTCTGGAATAATAACATTTGACGATTGCTGTGTTGATTATTGGGAAAATTAGAATGATGACAAGTTTTCCTTAATAGGATTGGGTAATGGAATCGTCGGAACTTGAAACAATTTTTACAATATTCATACATTTAGGCTATTTACTCATGACTCGATGCAATTCGACCGATATCAATTCGATCGTCGATTTAAATTGCATATACGTATGTAGTGCGATGCAATTCGTATAATGGAGTATAATGGACCAAAAATAACCATTTCCGTTCTTTTTAACTAATTTATAAAAAAAACTGAAATTTGCGAAGTTCGAAACTTAGATATCAATACAAATACGAAAAAGTACAAATAGAATGAGTTGTTTATTGGGTTTTGAAAATTAATTTACTTTTATACATGAAAGAAAACCGGAGGGTTTTCATGGAGAAATCAAGAAAGTACCGTAGGGAACTATTTTTTCTTAAATACTTCCTTATATTTCGACAATATCCACACAGATATTTGATTATCGTGAGTCTCCTACGCCTTTAACAATCTTAGAAGTATGTACTTTAAACAATACGAGTATCTTAAATAATTGCACATGGCTGATGCGTCGCGTCGGCTTGGCCGGTCGAAAGAAAACTGTCAAATATCATGTAGACTATCCGTAATTATCCGAAACTTTTAATTCGGTTACGGTTACGGAGCTCCCTAACATCCCTGATGAAGAGTCCCACCCACACCACCGAATAGTACATGTTTGAATATATATATAATGTTTAAATATTTGCTTTTATTAATTATTTTGTACTCAGACATTATACATCGAAACTATAATTAAAAAAATGTAACCGACCGATGTCTGTACATTGTAGATATATGAAAAAAACCTGTTATGAGATGCATTTATAAACGTAACAGAACACAAAATGACGATTTTCATTTTTTTGTCTGTTTGTCGTTTTGCCTGTGCCTTGGTGCATGCTAATCTCAAAAACGGCTAAACCGATTTTAATGCAGTTTTCACTATTGCATTGTGGTAACCTTTCGTTAACATTTAGTTTATTTCAATCGGTTCATAAACAAAACAGTTATATCAATTTGAAGCACTGTGTTCGCCAAAATAAAGTATGAAATTGCCGGTTTCTACTGAAAATCAAAATTGTTTTTTAACAAATTTATTTAATAAAAATAGTTACCCTTATTATATATACATTGCTGCCATCTAATAGGAAGGTTATTTATGCCTTTGCGATAGAACTCTGAGAATATAGACAGCACAAACTGTGTGAAAGCATTTTGTACTGCCTCCTGGGAAGAAAACTTCTTGTCACGTAGATAATTGTCCAAATCACGAAAAAAATGGTAGTCCGTTGGAGCAAAGTCTGGCGAATATGGAGGATGACGAATGGTTTCTAACTGCAGTTCCTGAAGGGTCAAAACGGATTCTCGTGCTGTATGAGGTCTCGCGTTGTCATGGAGCAATAATGGTGAAAGTAGGAGATCAAGCGAAAGAGCATTGCGCTGCTACAACTTAGCATCGGGTAGTTTACAGCGAACGCACGTATAACGTTTTCAATAGTAAATTCTTATCAGTTAGGTTTACGTTTTCCAGGCTAGCAGAGGTGGTTGGCAGCCACTTCTCACAAACACAGAAACTTTGGCTCAGCATAAATCTAAACTGGGTTTACATCGTTCTCTAAAGTAATGAGTGAAGACAACTCAAGTTATATCAATTATTTACCTCTTTATAGTCTTATGTTATTCCTTTTGTTTTTTTTTACATTCAAATCGCTTTACTGTAAAGTTGGTATTTGCAGTCTTTACTGGAGATACAGTTTTATTCACCGGTCATGAGGCTCATTCAATATTACATGCCTGTTGAGGGTTGGTGCGAAATTGATGGAGGTCAGTCAATCACCTCATAGAAGTATATAAGGATTAGTACAGGATTTCCGTCGAGTGTGCAAGGTCGAATTTAATATAATTTATCTTTTTAGTTCTCTGACGTTCTGCGACAAATAAGACGCACATGTCTAACGAAAGATACGTGGCGGCATGTCTGTTGACTCTAAGACTTTTATTGACAAAGTTGCTTGAGCTCTCGGAGAGTTCGGACTCACTATCAAGTTGAATCTGGAGCAGTCATTGTTAGGGAAAATGTCTTGAGCTCTCAGAGAACTCGTAAAGCAAGGGTTTGATCTCAGAAAACTCCTGAAGATAACTTAACACGTCAAACTTCTGATCGAAACACATATGCAGTATTGTTTGAGTCAGAAACTTCCTTTGATAGACCAGTATAAAGAGTGAGAAAGTAGTTTCGATTATCGCCAATCGGTATTGCCTTCAACCTGCCTGTACCCCACAAGCGTTCTTATATAATTACCTGTTAACTAATGGCGTAAATTATAACCTGTGGCACCGGAGTAGGACGTTGCTTCCCGTAGGTGAAAGGTTTAATTGAAACTTTCCGAGATAGCTGATACTGTAGGCATCTCTAAAGAACGGGCGCATTACATTTCGACTCAAGAATTATGTATGAAAAAATTATCCGCAAGGTGGGTGCCGCAATTGCTTACAGTTGACCATAAACGCGTTCCACAAGAATGTTTGGACATTAAGAGCAATAAAACTGATTTTCTGTGACAGTTTGTTACTACAGACGAGACTTGGGTTCACCACTATATACCTGAATCAAAAATTCAGTCTAAACAATGGACGGAAAAAGGATCTCCGACTCCAAAGAAAGCAAAAGCCGTGACATCAGCGGGGAAAGTCATGGCGTCAGTATTTTGGGATTCAAAGGGTATATTGATGATTGACTACCTTCCAAAAGGACAAAACATAATGGCGAATATTATGCTGATCTACTGGATAAATTACAAGTGTGTATTCGGGAAAAAAGACCCGGCCTGGCTAAAAAAAATAATCTTTCATCAGGATAATGCGCGCGTTCACACGTGCATCACTGCGATGGTGAAATTCAAAGATTTAAATTATGATTTGCTACCATACCCAGCTTATTCTCCTGATCTGGCACCATCTGACTTTCATCTATTCCCTAAGCTCAAATTTTTTTTAGGTGGACAAAGATTTGAAAATAATAGCGAGGTGATGTCTGCCGTGGACAGTTATTTTGAAGGGCTTGAAGAAAACCACTTCAGGGATTGCATCAAGGCTTTAGACCATAGATGGATGAAGTGCATAGCGCTTCAAGGAGACTATGTCGAAAAATAAATATACTTTTAACACACTAATTCAAGTTTTTCTATGCTAGGCTAACTACTTATCATCCCGCCCTCATATAAATTTTTTATACATAACATTCATAACTATGTACTATACAATCTTAGCGCTGGCCAGCGATTTCTTTAAGGCATTTGTTGGAAAAAATAACAATAAATAATATATTGTGCATACAACTAGACAGATAAACAAATAACATTTTAAAAATATCAAAATCAAAAGAACAGTCATTATAGCGTAATTATCACAAATAGGAGTATACCTAATGTACAATAAAAATGGTCAGACAAGAGCAGAGAGAGAGGTGAGAAAAAATTAGGAAAATAACTACTGTAAGGGCCGTTTATAGGGCGGATGACGAAAACATAATTTTATTGAGCTCCTCCGTGATTCGAAATGCAAGTTAAGCCGTTGGTCCCAGCGGCATCAGTAGTCGTTAACACCCACTAATTCGCATTGGGCCCGCGTAGTGCGTTATGGACCACCATTGATCCTACTGGATTCGATCTCAACCCTAGGCAAGAAACAATTCTCCTGATATACTTTCCCACGCAGACAAAGTCGCGGGCACAGCTAGTTTGAAATCGATATAGAAGTAAATGCCGTTTAGCCACTAGCCATTTTAGAAGAATTGAAGGAAAGTAAACTAACATGTCTTCAAATATTAGCATTATATTTACAGTATTTACATGCATAATTAACAGAAGGTAGAATTTTTACATTAATGGCAATTTTTTGATAAAATACCGATGCCACATAATTGCAGTGAAAATTGACAATAAATACCATGTCACAAGGTATGAAAAGTGTTCATTTCTTAGAGTGACACGAGTCTGATTTGGTATAGGCCATCCTGCTGGTGGGTCAGATATGCCACGCACATCCAGCCATATAGGTAGACAATCTAGATACTCACTCATCTGTTCTAAGTCTCTAAAAATAAACAGATTATTTTAGGAAACCATATTAATGAATACAGAAAAACAATTATAAATAACTTTACCAACCTACTGTACCAAGAACCATTTGCTGGGTTGTTTTTAGGCATAAATGGTGCTCTTTTTTCAGTCAGTCTAACTACACCAACAAGTTCTACTTCACCTTTGATCATAGAAGCATCTCTTGTTTCCTTTGGTTTCAATTTAGTTGGCACCCAACCTCTATTAATTAATATGACTTGTCTGTAAGAAACAAATTTCACTTTAATGGATCTTCTATACTGAAAATGCTGCACATGCACATACACCACATCTTATTGAGACTGTTGGTTAGTCCATACTAATATTATTAAGAGAGTATTGTATTGTTTGTTCTGAAACTACTAGTCCAATTTAAAAAATTCTTAATCATATGTGGCTGAATAGAATAGATTTTATTGCCGTATTTTGTACATGTATAATTTACAGTTGTAATTGCATAATTTAACCACAATAGTATACCCAATTGGATATTCAATACAAAAAACAAAGAAGATAATTTTAAGCCAAGGTAATTTCTGTTAGGGTAAAAGTTCTAACATAAAGTAACCTATTATTCTATTAGTGGCTTGTTTCTTGTAGCTATTTGTATGCTGTTAGTATTGCAGTTTTAACCTAACCTAACTTTTTTTTATGCTGGGAAATGCATTACTGTATACTACCTAATCGAACCTGCTATTATGGTAGCAGTTTGTTTTTGTAGCCATTTTTTTGCTGTTAGAGTCACAGTTCTAATTTAACCTAACCTACTATTCTGGCAGCGACTAGTTTTCTGCTGGGGTCACAGTTTCTTATATTGTAACAAAATTTAAGCCTATTGTTTAGCATTCTTCCAGTCATAAATGCAGAATAGATAATTATTTACTTTTGTATTATCATTTGTATTAAAATGCAAGAAGCATCAATTAACCAATTATCAAAATAAATCAGTTTTTTATTTAATATTTAAACAAAATTAGTTTGTAGTAAATATCAGTTTTTTTATTTAGTTACCGAGGCTTAGTATTTTGGTAGTATGTTTAATAAATTATAATCTATCTAAAAGTAACAAAGTCTAATAGCAAAGATAAAATTGCGAGTCTTATTATAAACCTGAGTTCTTACTCTATGAAAGCAGTGTCACACAAACATAAAAAATAACAATAATTTATGAAGTACAAATAAAATCACACTTAAAACACATAATTGTTAAAACATACCCTGAATCAGAAAGCCTAAATGGAGTTACAATCAGCCAACCCTGATTTTTTTTTGGATCTGATACAAGGGACCCAACTCTAGCCATTGGAGAATTATCAATCAGAGCTTTTGGTCCAATAACAAATTCTTTGTCATGCAGAAACTGTCCCTTTACTTTGACAGGCATATATTCCATTTTTTCCAGTTCTTCATAGCTATTAAAAAAATATTGTTTATGAGACTCTAGATAATAGTAGCTAAAAATAGAAATTTCTAGAATAAGTTAGAACTATTAACCTATCAGGTAACGTTGTTGGAACAGAATTTGACTTTGCTTGCATCATATCTATCAAATTTAACTTCCATTGTAAACGATGTACCTGCCAACACCCTAGCCCAAAGGATGTTACTGGAAACATCTAAAATGAAGAAAAGGCATTCAAATTCAAGTCACATGTGTTTGTAACTAACAATACAATAATAACATTAGACTTTACCAAAAGTATCCATTTGAAAATTTGCCCTGGTTCTTTTTCACTTTTAACTTGATGTGATTTTAAAGCATTAGCTATATTTGTATTGCTTCTTAGAGTATTCTTAAAAACAACCTTATTCGATATTACAAGTTTACTATACAGGCGAGACAATTTACATGAACTCCTCAGTATATTGGCCATTTTACGTTGCTTAAATTGTTGTAGATAGATTTGCTATATACTTTATTATTAATATAGAGTTTAAATGTGTACTCTCACAAACAAAAACTTCCATTTACGATTACCATGGCCTTCTTCACACAAATCATAAATTTTCTTCTTCGCTTCCAAAATGATCTACTTTGATCTACTTCTTTTTTTTAGTTCTCTTTCTTCCATTTGATACGAAATGGAAAGGCAAAGGCACTTACACATATGCCATACAGCCTAGATAAAAGTAGATTCTTCTTTCGATATAATGTTTCTCTTGATTTTCTATTTCATTTTATTTAAATATCTTTAACTGTATTTTAAATAAATTTGTAGAGCATAAAATAACACTGGTGATTTTTTAGAAGTTCCGGTAACGCAGGCGGGATGTTATCTGCTTTCTTGTAGATTTCCAACAAATTATTGGTTAAAATCATACGTTGTAGTAAGAAGTGTGAACATTCAAAAAAGATATGAACCAAACTTTGGTTGCCAGAATTGCAAAAGTTGCATGTTGGGGAGGAGATCATGCGCATTCTATGCAAGTGCTCATTAAATCGTCCATGTCCAATACGCAATCTACATATGACAGTATAAAATTTTCTGTTAACATATTTTCTTTTAACGAACCACGGCTTAGATATAATTGAATTTATATTATGATACCAACTTCCTTTTGATTGTAAGGTTTCTTGCCAATGTTGCTGCCACTTTTTAACCATTTTATTTTTAATTAAATGAACATAATCAGAGTATGCTATTCTAATATCTGCTATAGGCACATTATCATTTGTATTAGTAATAAACTTCGAAAGAGAATCAGCTTGTTCATTAGCACTTACTCCATAATGAGATGCAGTCCAGAATAAGATGATGTCTTTACCTTTTATTATTAACTTTGTATAGATTTCTCTGATGTTTTGTATTAAATAGTTGATATGAACGAAAAATATTGGATTCGATAATGCTTGTAAAATGCTCATATTGTTACTTACAATAATTCATTTATCATAGTCCACTTTTTTTAATATTAGGTCCTTACATATAAAATGGACGTTTTGTCGTACTGGCCAATTTAAACACAAATTTCTCCTCTTTAATTGGGAATTCCAAATTCAAATTTATACAGCCATTTACACATATATTTGTGTTTCCTTAGGCGGCATTCATTTGTTTTTTTCTTCTGTTTGTCCTATTTACGTCACACAGTATAAAAAATGGAAAATTTGAAATATCGTGTTATTTACGAGTACTCATCGCAATGGTTGGACCCTGGCATGTCAGCCAAATCCTGCCGCAAGCGAAAATTGACCCGAAAACAGTTATTTGTAAGCGTTTGGTGGCCTAGTGCCGGTGTCATTCATTACAATTTTCTCAAATCTGGCCAGACGATTACGGCAGATTGTCAACAATTGCAAACAATGCAGGAAATACTAGCTGTAAAACAACCGAGGCTGGTCAATCGCTCTACGCCACTGCTACTTCACGACAACGCTAGACCAAACACTGCACAACAGACGGCTACCAAATTAGAAGAGCTTCAATTGGAATGTCTAAGACATCCATCGTACTCCCCGGACCTTCCTCCAACAGATTAGCATTTTTTTCGAAATTAGGATAACTTCTTGCAAGGGAAAAAATTCAACTCCGATGGGGCAGTGCAAATCGCCTTCAAAGATCTTATTGATTCCCATCCGAATGGTGTTTTTAGTAAGGGGATTAATGAACTACCTATGAGATGGCAAAAGTGCATAGGTAACAATAGTTTATGATTTCGATCTTTGAATGTAGCATATATCCTATATATCCATTTTTATCCTATATTTTGTCTGTTTTTTTGCTAGATGGCGTTGCATAGCTGACTCGCGCTAAAACTGTTGAAGCTACATGAGTAGTATAGTTTTTGAAGGTTCGTTATAACCTGTGGTCGGTGTAGGTAGTGTCATTTAGGGTGGATGACCTCACATGTTTATGTTAACATGGACATTCCCCGGAATTCGAGATATTAAAATCGTTATTGTGTTAATTTATTTTCTGCATAAGTATAAACTGTAATAATTATATTGTTTAGTGCTTATTTTTTGGTAAATAATGTTTAAAGCAGTTAAATGAAATTGTTCATAAGGTGTTAGTGAATGAATTTATTATAATTATAATAATTAATTGTTTTGTTTTTGTTTTAATTATCTCACGCCCTTTTGCACTGTTTTGAGACTGGTTCTATTATTGTACCTTAAATGCACTACCACGGGTTTGTGTATACTCATTGAACTAACTCATGTCGTTATAATTTACCTTTGTGAGTGCCACAATTATGTTAAAGAAACTAAATCACGACACAATACACCAATTGATTTAAACAATTTGTTGCCATGTCTTGACGCTTTCTGGCTCTCTTATTGTAGTTTTTGTTTTAATTATCTCACGCCCTTTTGCACTGTTTTGAGACTGGTTCTATTATTGTACCTTAAATGCACTACCACGGGTTTGTGTATACTCATTGAACTAACTCATGTCGTTATAATTTACCTTTGTGAGTGCCACAATTATGTTAAAGAAACTAAATCACGACACAATACACCAATTGATTTAAACAATTTGTTGCCATGTCTTGACGCTTTCTGGCTCTCTTATTGTATTCATCTGGTTTTCTCTGTTGACCTTAATAAACCTAAACTACACTAAATTTATCGCTTTATAATTCAAATCCAATGATTTTATCTAATTGTACTTATACAAAAATGGCTTCCTTTAACATGTATTTTCAGAACGTGCGTGGGTTACGCACAAAAACTAATACCCTATACAGAATGGTCAGCCTCAACGATTATGATGTCATTTCACTATCGGAAACATGGTTGGTAGACAGTATTTCTGGTTCTGAGCTTTTTGATGAGCGTTACTTGTTCTGGCGACGTGATCGTGAATACTCCCGTACTAAACAGAGTTTAGGTGGAGAAGTGATTGGTCTAGTACGGCGGAAGGACATATGGATAACAATATCAGTAGGTACATAATAAAAAACCGCCAATATCCTACAATATCCACGTTTGTATCGTATATCTCATCAATGAAGGAGGTGGCAACAGTTACAAAATTCAATTAGAAGCTTTTTGAATAAATTATCGGAACTGGTTCTACAACATCCAATTGATAAATTCATTGTTTTGGGAGACTTCAATTTGCGTGACTATATTAACTGGACGACTCAGGAGAACGGTGAACTTACACCCTGAATTGGTTACCAGCAAAGACTTTACCACAAAGTCTTCATAGATAGATACGCTCAACGTATGTAATCTTAGCCAATATAACAACATAAGCAATTATTTCCATCGAACTCTTGATTTAGTACTCTCAAATGACACTGTTATTGTTCACGAGTGTGACTCCCCTCTTCTTAAGGAAGACCTGCACCACAAAGCAATTTCTATTAGTGCGGACTTTGTTGAAATTCACACATTACCACAAGAACGCCGAATATCATACAAATTTAATTCGGCTGATTATGCAACAATATCATCTGAACTCTCCAACACAGACTCGAACGGCTGTTTAAATGGATAACTCTTTCTCATTACTGCGTCGCCGTGCCATTCATATAGAAAAGGAATGCTTTGATCATTACATATCAACAATTGAACAATTTATCACTGAGGATCCCAAGATTTTCTGGACTTCCGTAAAAAACAAGAAAAATCAGGCGCATGCCCGAATCGTATGTATTACAAAAAGGAGGTAGCTAGCACTGGTCAGATTATCTGTGATTTATTTGGTTTATTCTTTTTATCGACGTTTAATGACTCTGTTGCCACGGAATCAGAGAATTTAACGCCTGAATTCTCGAAATATACTGGCGCTGTGCTGAAGTCTTTTGGAGCCATTGTGTACTTAGTTTAGAAGTTCAATGAATGAGGGCCACGTGTCTGCAATTTGGAAGTCAGCGTTTATTACGCCGATTTTTAAAAAAGGAGACAAGGCATGCGTGGAAAACTATAGACCTATCTGGATTGCCTATTGGATGCTGGAGATCTTCAGGCTGATTTAGGTAGATTTGAGGGTTACTGCATAAAAAACAAACTAGAACTGAATGTTGCGATATGTTTCTATATGTCCTTCACCCGCTGCTATAGCATTAGAAATTTCACATATACACTAAAAAATGATAAATTGTCTAAATTTATGAAATTAAAGATCTTGGCGTAATACATGACTCGAAATTATTAGTCTACATGTATTATTTGATATACATGTAGACTATATATTTAAAAAAGCTTCTCGAGCACTGGGGTTTATCATCCGCAGTTCCGCTAACGCTTAAAATCTTATACTCCACGTATGTGCGGAGCCACTTTGAATATGCATCTCAAATTTGGAATCCTCAATGTCAAACCTACATAACTCGGATTGAGGGAATTCAGAAAAGATTTCTTAAGTTCCTAGATTTTAAATCTCAACAGTATTCTATTGACTACAACCATAGATGCAAAAAGTATCATTTCGTACCGTTGGAGACATGAAGAATGATTAGTGATGTCTGTTACCTGTCTAATGTCTGTCTGCGGAAGGGTCGACTCTTCTGAATTACTATCTCTATTAAACTTTAAAACTAACCAGCTTCGATTAAGACAAAGACCACTTCTATGTCCTTTGACAGCCAGAACCGTTACAGAACGAACACTTTCGTGATACGAGCGTGCAATACATTTAATACACTACCTTATGATGTTGACTTGTTTTGTTCTAGTACCACATATATTAAAAAAGTATTGAGACTCAGTTTGTTTGATGATAACAACGATTAATAGATATGTTGTTTCTATTGCAGGAATGTTTATGTTTACATTTTTTTTTAAGTTGTCCATTAGATTTCTTAACTTTTAATTTATAACCTATTTGTGGAGATTTGTAATTAGCATCGGAATAATTTACTATATAACCTAAGGTTGATATTTATCTGTAAATCTTCTTAAAAATAAATAACTTATTGTAAAAGGACGTTAATGTTACAAAAACAAATTATAGTACAATTGGTGGCTTTATCGCTAATAAATCGATTTCTTCTAGGTACAGATACCGTTACAGATTGGAAGTTTGTGTTATGTATCATTAACAATCCATTTATTGAAAATAACCGTTCGACCTCCACTGATGTCAGATGTACATGTTGATAATTTCAAATATCAACATCAAACAGAATGCCCCATGTCAGATTTTCAGTGTAATCCCTTATTACTTCTAGATCTCGGTTACGAGAAAGTATTTTAAACAGTATCTGTTACAACCCAATGTAGTACGGTTCGCACCTCATTGAATATTTCAAATGTTTCTATTCAGAAACTGTTTATGATTACAGATAATGTTCGATACTTTATTTTTTTATTATTAATATTGCATCTGTAATAGATAGGACCGATTTAATCCTATTAAAATATTTATTATAACATTCTTCTGTCTTAAGCCGGAATACCGGGACTTTTCTTTGAAAATTCTTATCCTTTCACGTTCTTATTCGTTCAAAGTATTCACGTCTACATATTCAAAACGATGTGCTATTGCAGAGCATGAGCTACTCATGTCACATGTTTTGTTATATTCGTCATCCCACAAGCTCTTAAAACAATTAATTACAAATTTTGATACAGTGCGTCGACTAACCACTTCTAACGTTATTAACGTACATGCAACTAAATATGTCTTTTTCTGTTATCCAAGTTAATTAGTTTCACCAAAAAGTGCACGATATAGCGCTCTAAAAAATCGGTTGTTTTATCTACTACCTATAATCTAAAGTTTTTCATTACATATTTTTGCGTAAATAGATGTCATGGTGACAGTGGCGTAGCGCGGGTGTCTGCCGCCCGGGGTAGAACACATTTTGCCGCCCCTCTTAATTAGGTATTTTCTATAATTAGTCTATATATTATATTCATTAATTTTAAAGATATTTTCGGCAAAAATTGTCGTCATTATTTTGCATTATATAGGTTAGATTTAGTGTGGTTTAGTTGTCGCCATGCAACTGCCCACGGATCGAGTGTTGTGGGTTCGATCTCCACAAAGGACAATTCTACGTGTGATTTACAAATAATAGTTCTTAGGTTGGGTGTACTTTATTCCTCGCACACAAGACTCGTCAAATCCCAAATCATCTAAACTTTGAGAAGCGAGGGTATGCCCGCATCTAGCATCGTTAAATCCTATAAATAGCACTACTGACGCCGACCACTGGTTATAATAACTAACTATCCAAGGCGGTGTATAGTCAGTAAGAGCCTAGCACATCCTCACAGACTATGTGGTATAGGGGAAGGAATCATTATTTCCTCACCCCGTTGGGAGGATAGTTTCGAATTCTTCTAAAATATCAGTGATAGCTTAACAATAAAAAACAAGAAATATTATATATTTAAATTTATTTTTAGTTACACCATTATTAGTTATCAGGACTTACATATATATTCTAGTATTTATGACAAAAAAAAAGAAATATTTCACTTCCGATATTTTATTTGTATTTTCTAAAATATTTTCCTTTCTGAATATCATTACTTTTGTTGAATTTCTTCTTGTGCCTTTCTGGGGCTTCAAATATTGTTCAAATGAGTACCAATCGGTTATTTTAAAATTTATTTACATAGTATAATAGGTGGTGTTAGAAATGAAACAGCAAATCTACTGTTGAAACAGTAGGAGTAATACTGACTAAGGCAGATAGCAAAAAAAAAATCACACTTGTTTACCCCTAAAATGAGGTCAAGTCACCGAGCCACAGTTTATACGGCTTTTTACAGTAGCTAATTTCATAGATTTATTATCGTGTTTTATCTGAGGTTAATATTAAATAGGTTTTGGTACATACTAAGGCTTATTGACATAATATTTTTGTGTGAACATCATCTATATTAAGTCGTTGATCAATGTCTTGAAAGTTTTGAAATTTTCTATGTTGCCACTATGGAACAGAAAAAAAGAGTTTGCCGCCGATTTGCCCCAACCTCGCAATCAGATCCTTCTATTCATTGCTCAGATTAATTCGCTTTTTTATTCATATTTGGAATTTGAGTCTAAAAAGGATTAAAACGATAATATTTATCATTTTTGACATTGTCATTTTTCTAAAGTCAGAGCCATAGAGAAGATTTTAACTCAATGTTAAGGAAATATGAAAATTAATGCTAGTTAGATTTTGTTCATATGTTTCTTTGGATTATCAGTTTCTTGATATAATGAAATATTTTTGAGTGTTTTGTTCCCTATTATGAATATATTGAATGGTGGATGTTTATCGCGTTGTCGTCGGGTAACCTTCAGTATTCCATATGTCAGGGATGCATTAAAACCGTCTTCTGTGGTTGTAGTTGATAATAAACACGAAACATGGAAGACGAATACCAAAATAGTTGAGAGGCTGCAATCCGCATCATGTACCAGTAACTTTCACGCTGTTTTAGTTCAATGGACACAAATACGCTTTCAAGGAGATTGTCCACCCCCGAAATTTCATCGTGATATAGCATACCCGAATTATGATGCTTACAGGAAAGAAGATTATACTGATGTCAGAAAAACTACCTGGGGTTCAGGCGACGGCAAACCTGGCATAACTTACGCTCTTGGATTTTTTGGGTACCTTCTCGGTGCATACGCAGCCAAAACGATTGTGTATGATTTAGTGACTTATATGTCAGCACCTGCTGATGTGTTAGCGTTAGCGTCAATCGAAGTAGATATTTCGAAGGTCGCGCCTGGTGGATGTCTTTCATACAAATGGCGGGGAAAACCTTTGTTCATCAAAAATCGAACAGATGCTGATATTGAGTTAGAATCAAAGACTCCCGTAGCATCATTACGACATCCACAATCTCCTGAAGACCGTTGTGTGAAGCCAGAATGGCTGGTAGTCATAGGCATATGTACTCATCTGGGCTGTGTACCTATACCTAATTCAGGCGACTGGGGAGGGGGTTTTTATTGTCCATGTCATGGTAGTCATTATGATAATTTGGGCAGAGCCCGTAAAGGTCCAGCTCCGTTGAATTTAGAAGTTCCACCTTATAAATTTGTTAGTGATACTTTGATAATTGTTGGATAGCTCTTGAAATATAGTATTTTTAAATAAGTATGTTTTATTAGTCATTTAAATAGACAATATCTGATGAGCCTAGTCGGCACCCAGCATAATAGACATGCATACCGCCGCTCAGGTGCCAGGAGTCTACTTTTCAAGCAGTATATTACCCATTTTGACTACTTATTTACTTAAGCCAATTTCGCATTTCGTCTACTCGCGAAATACCAACTTCTCACATCATCTACTAGTCTAAGAACAATGTTCAAACAAATAGAAAAAGCTGTTCATTGCATTAGGTAATGCAATGAATAGGTTTTACTCGACTACGGCTTAGGAATTATAGGACTTGTATGACAAGAGTATTTCCAGCTGAAAAGAAAGCCGAGCGAAATATCAAATGCAAATGCTATTTAACCCTTTCTATATAGGCGACAATACCATTTTAATGAAGTGAGACTTTCATATTATGGTTCAATTTTTTAACTACTGTGGCTATTATCGTAAACAATAAGCTTGTAAATTTTTTTGTAGGCTTTATAGGCAATTCGATATCGATGAGCGTCCGTGGAGATATAGATAGATAAGGGAAATAAAACCATAAGAAAATACATATTATGTTCATAACGACATTTACTAATATAATACTTAATGTACACATATAGACGAATAACGGTGCAATAAATTTGCCTGTTCCAACCGAAAGCTACGCAGCTTGTTTTTAAATGTAAATTTCCTGGTAGGAATTGTGATGGCCAAAGTCTTTTACCGCTATAACAATAAGAGATAGTACTTTAGTATTATTTAAAAAATCGATTGCTCATTGATTATTTGTAAAAATAAAATAAAAATACTATTTCAACTTTTAGAAAAATCGATGAATCGATTTATTTTCACATCCCTATTCATTACGTTGCTTTCATTACTTTTTGTCGCGCTGCGTTGCCCAAATCAACAAATATTTTTTTTTCTGAAAATTATAAATCATTACGTTTAAAAACTTTTGAACACACAATCGTCACGATCACAATAGTAATACTTGGTTTAAGGATGCATATTTGAGATTGAAGTCAGTGAAGTACTTGCTTTCCAGATCTAGTTCCTGTGAAACATTAATTTATGAAATAAACATAAATAAAATAATGGGTAAACTAAATAATTCCTTCCTTTGGGGTATACTCATCGCTTCGGCAACCTGGAGTATTTCATTGTATCTGTATTGGCTTCTCAACATGAGTGGTGAGTCTAACTAACTCTACATACTATTTTAAATACCAATCATATCTTAATTTACAAAGGTCCATGCATGTAAGCTAATAGCTGTTTTTCTACTACTTTGCCCACGTAAATTATAGCCTACAGCCACCATGTATGATTTAGCATCCTGTAAATGAAAGAATTTTCATAGTCTGATCACTATTTTCGAAGATTACTGCCTACAAACAAATAAACAAAGTCAGTAGCATTACCTCTTTATAATATTGTTATAGATTTTAAAAATTTATTTCGGATCATTTACTTAAAATTATTAGATGCTAGCTGATGTTAAACGGAAATTGATAGCTTTTGTTGGAGATACCTTATTTGAGGCTTTTTTCACTAAGAGGTGCTAGGCTATAGTATATTTTTGTAGAGCCTGTTGAGTACCTCATCAATATGAAATTTCATTATTAATTTAATTTTTGTTCTTTTTGAAAGCTGAAAATTTCATAATAATATTGTTAGTGAATAGATGCAATTGTACTACACAAGAGTAAAATGAGCTTCAATTATTTTCAAAATTGTCTTTGATTTCTGTAAATAACTAAGATCACAAAAGTATATAGTAGTATAATAATATCTTTATAGCTTGTGACCATATTGTAAATCTAACTTCAAATCCAAAATAAAATTCTGTTTGTTTTGTGAGTGGTACAAACAGCATTTATACTAATATTTGTGCTGTTACTATTAAACAACAAGTAAACTTTCTCAATTATTTGATTGATTTTAGGTAATAGCACACTAGGCAATGTGGACGGCAAATTCCACTATCACTTGGTGAACTCTGATGAAAAGGACAGAATTAAAAATAATGATAAATCTATTGCAGCACTTGAAGGTAAAAATTTGCTTTATGATAGTCCACGAGTATATGACAGATTTTCTGCAAATAAATGGAAGGCTTTTAAAAGTCGTTCTGATTATCAACGTAAGATGATGTTAAAAGAAAAATTCGCAAAACAGTTGGGTATGAAGTTGTCAGCTAAGCCAGATAAAAGTTTAGGTATGTTTGATGAAATAATTAATTACATCTGTTCTTTAAAGAAGAATATGCTTAATAATCAGGTTATTATTCATTTTAGATAATCAACTCGGTTTGATACGCAATGCTGAAGATGTTAGGATACGTGAAAAAGGTTATAATTTACATGCTTTCAATACTCTTATATCACAACGTATTGGAAATCATAGAGGATTACCTGATACAAGAAATAAATTGTAAGTTAATTTGAGTTTATTACACTTATGTCTCAAAGTCAATATATGGCATTTTCATGGTTCCGGTTAAATTCATCACTAGCATGCAAAAGTATGTTTAAGTATTGAAACATATGGTAAATACCTATTGATTATTTAAGTTTATATCTACTATTTGTTAAATATGAAATAAAAGAGATTAATTAATCTATTTTATCCCCATAAACATTTATTCAATAGGTGCTTACACATTTACAATAGAACTAATACATCTTAATTATTATTTTTTTAGTTTAACCATGGATAAACTTTCATGTTTTATTCAAATCTTCTGTGATCTGCCTTTTTAATAGAAATTGCTTGGTGTTACAAACTTGGTGTACTTGGTGAACTAAATGCCATATAGCCTTTATAGCAGGCAATGTTTTAAAAACATAGGCATAATATTAGAGATGATAGTTTTATGTTTATTCATAGTTTATTGGTTTATAAATATATGGTGATTAAATTATTTTAAAGATACTAATGTGTAAGAATTTTATTAAAATAAATACAGAAAAGTAATTTTTAGAAAAATAAATTTGGAATTTAACTCTATGGACTAAGATTGAAATCGCTTTGTAGTTATTCTTTGAATGCCACAGCTTGTGAGCGTTTCCATTAGAGCCATAACACGAATTTTGCTATGTGGACAATTTACTGTAACCACAATGCATTGTGAACTATTTTTTTGCTCAATGGGTGATTTCTATTTTTGAACATAATAAAAATATAACTACTATGTTTAAAATTGCTTATACATAATTTTTCTATCAAATATCTTGGTTAATGTTTTTATGATTATGAAAACACACATGTTTATAATCCTTGTATAAAAGTTGAAATTTTTTTAGATGCCGATCGCAAAAATATGCAGAAAAATTGCCAAAAGCATCAATAATAATTTGTTTTTATAATGAACATTTCGAAACTCTAATGAGGTCAATTCATTCAATTTTGGATCGCACTGATGCAAAATATCTAAAAGAAATCATTCTCGTTGATGACTTTAGTGACATAGAAGGTTTATATGATGAAGTAGCAAATCAAATAAATGATTTAAACAATAAAATGCGGAAAGAAGAGGAGATGCTAGAAACTAATAATGTGGATGATAATGTTGTTGATTATATAAATGATGATAATAATGCTGATAAGAAAACTACTGACAAGAATTACAGCAACCTCTCTAAGAATGGTTTAAATATAAGGTTATTAAAGACAAGCAAGCGAGAGGGCCTTATTCGCGCCAGATTATATGGAGCTGATAATAGTGTGGGTGAAGTAAGTTCTGCTAAATTATTGGAGTGATAATTTTCTTTTTTTTTTAAATTCTATATCAACATCAGCCGTTGACTTGGTGCCAAACAGATCTTGTTTCCAATTTATATTTATATAAAAGAAAATCATATTCATACACTTAATGTCAGCAAAAAAGAGTCTTTGACTAAATATGACTTTTGATTTACTGCTTAAATTAGAGTTTCATATAATTTCTTAAATGCAGCACTCATTTTAACTCATTAAATTTTACAGGTGTTAGTGTTTTTAGATTCACACATAGAAGTCAATGTGGATTGGTTACCACCACTTTTAACACGTCTAGCAGAAGGGGTGGACGGCATCAATGTGCGTTTTTCACAGCGAGCTGTAATGCCTATAATTGACGTCATCAATTCAGATACATTTGAATATAGTGCTAGTCCACTGGTGCGCGGAGGTTTCAATTGGGGGCTGCATTTCAAGTGGGACAACTTGCCAAAGGGTACACTAAAGAGTATGTGTAACTAATTACATATTGAATGTGGTTTTCTCTAACCTTATTTACGTGTGTTAAATTACTAATGTTATTTATAGACGATGAAGACTTTGTGAAACCAATCCAGTCTCCTACAATGGCAGGGGGTCTGTTTGCTATATATCGTGAATACTTCAACTACGTTGGTAAATATGATTCGGGTATGCTCATATGGGGAGGCGAAAACTTAGAGATATCATTCAGGGTAAGCAAGCACTTTTTCGATTGCAATTTATCAGTGAAAACATTCTCTGGTGCTGATCATGCATGAAATTATTATGAAGTTTGTTCCATCACTTTCATTCAAGATCATAGGCGTTAATGTTAGGATTGTCTTTTAGATATGGATGTGCGGTGGGACTCTGGAGATGGTTCCATGCAGTCGAGTTGGGCATGTGTTCCGTAAACGCAGGCCGCATAGTGTCGGGGAGAAAGAGGATTATATGATGTACAATTCCATGCGAATGGCGCGTGTGTGGATGGACGACTATGTGGTATGTATCCAGTGCCGAATTAAGCCAGAGCGGGGCCCGTAGCAAATGACTCCCCTCCCAATCATCCTTTGCTTTCCGAATAACACAACACAACTAATCTGTGACTTGAATTTAATTTGTCAGTTTCTGTTCATAATTGAAAATATGACTAGTCAGAGGCGTGGTTTATTTTATTTCTTTTTTTATTTAACGGTGACTTGAAAAATTAATTAACTGACTCTGAACCATAGCGAGGCTGCCAATAGGCTAGTTGACAACTTTTATTTTATTTTTTAAATAAATAGTCCATTCATATCTGAGAAATAATGAAGAAGTAACAGCAGGTCTGCGATTCATAGTTTTGGTGACATGATGCAGTGTTTGTGGAACTGCTGCTAGTCGGCCGAAAACGCTCCTTACAAATCCAATGCACTAAGTGACGTCATACGGCGCTACTGTAGCGAAAAACGTATGGGCGTCTGGGTAATCTTTGTAATATCTTTGTTATTTGTGCGTTTATGTTTATAGCTGTTATAATGAAATGTAATGCCATATGTATTTTAGTAAATTTTTGTAGTATATTTTTTCTGCTTTTTTCAAGGTTAGAATGGTCCATATATTCCGAACATATAAAAGAAACCTGCAATTTCACTTATAGGACACAAGCCTATTGCGCGGGGCTCACAAACACGCGTGGCTCGTAGCATTTTGCTATGTTGCTACTTTTGCTACGTGGCTAATCCGGGCCTGTATGTATCAGATATAAAGATATAAAAACTACTTGATATTTATAAATGTATTTAATTGTAACATACCTAAAAGTATAGCTAGCATATAATAATATAATAATAGCATATAGCATATAATATAGCTAGCGTAGCTGAGTGGTTCGCACGCCGGTTTCAAGGTGTCGCCATCTCTGAGGGGTTCGATTCCCGGTCGGGTGACGATGTATATAATGAACTTTTCTATATTGACTCGGGTCTGGGTGTTGTGGTACCTTCGTTGTCTCAGATACTCCATAATACGGGGGCTTTAGTTACTCATCTTGGAATCTGAGCAATGTATGTGATGTTGTTAAATATTTATTTATATATACTGAAAGAATGAAGCACCTAAAGACGAGAACAATTCTGCATGAAGGAAATGTAATTTAATTAACGCAACAAGTATGAACTGTATTGGGACTGTGAATGAATAAAATATATTTAGAATGTGAAAATATTATGAGCTAGTGCGAATTTTCTTTTTATTAAAACAAGTATAAAATGCATAAGTGGTTCACACGCCGTTTTAAAGGTGTCGCCAAGTTTGAGGTCCGTTTTCTAGTTGGGTCAATGTAGAATATGGAATTGTCTCGGGCCTGGGTGTTGTGATATCTTGATTGTCTCAGATACTTCATAATATGAGGGCATACGCTACACATATTGCAATGAGAGATGATTCTCTATTATTTAATGTATATAAATTAAGATCCTTTGCGAATTTAATTTATAACAAAATAAGAATAAAATGCATAGCAACTAAATGAATCATAATCCGGTGCGAATTTTGAACCATTGCTCTTTATATCTATATTAATATTACAAAGAGTAAATATTTAATTGTTTATTTTTTAAACTACAAGTTGATTTAAAAACTTTTTCACCTAGCAGAAATAACGTCATATGCAGGTGGCATCCTATTAATATTATAAATGAGAAAGTTTCTTTGTTTGGATGTTTAGACGTTTGGATGTTTGTCCGACAATCACGCCGAAACTACTGAACGGATTTTGATGAAATTTGGTATACAGATAGGGTATTTGCTGACTTAGATAATAGGATACTTTTTATCCCACTAAACATTTCCCTAGGGTCCACGCGGGCGAAGCCGCTGGCGAAAGCTAGTAGGCTATAATTTATGCCCGTACTAAGTCACTGGAAAACTGCTAGTATATAATAAAACAAGAATAAAATGCACAGCGACTGAGTGATTTACGATCTTGCGCAAATTTACTATGTAATTAGTAATTATGAAATAAATAATGACACTGCGAATTATTTATATAATAGAACGAGTATAAAATGTAAAATCACTGAATGAATTGCGAATCTGTGCGAATTTTCTATATAATAAAACAAATATATCGACTGAATGAGTTATTATATGATGCAAATTTTATTTTATCATATGCTGAGATCTTTTAAAGTACTCGACGGATTTTAATGCGGTTTCACCAATATATAGAGTGAATCTAGAGGAATGTTTGATATAAGACCACGAGGACGAATCCGCTGACGAGGAAACCTAGTAATATCATAAAGGCGAAAGTGTGAAGGATTAGATATTCTTTACTACTTTACGCAAAAACTACTGATCGTATTTTGATGAAATTTGGTATATGGATAATTCCAAACCTGAATTAATATATAGGCTACCGAACATTATATAAAATAAAATAAAATATAAATTTGATTGTTTGTCTTTGTTGGCTACGAATAGGATCCAATTTAAAAATTCTTTCACCTACGGGAAGCCACATCATATGCGGTGAATATAGGCTATATTTTATCCCGAAAATAGCAAATAAAGGGATGAAAATGGGAGTGAAAGTTTGGACATGGGATTAAAATGTTACCATTGTTTACTCTTCAGATTGTCGTTATAATTATATCCGTGTCATGATATGAATCAATATCCAAATAAACAGTTCTCTGGCGAAGCATCTGGTGGAAAGCTTTTACACGACATCGAGACATTTTTTTCGCAAGGAATTAGTCACCGCTGTAGCTATAATCAACGCCTTATTTTTTTTTTCAAACGAATTCTATATATCAGGAAACTGCATGATTTGCTCTTTTGTTTTTGTATCGGGAATTTAAATTGATTATGATCGGAATGCGAATTTCTAAACGAAATGATAAGATTTAATATATTTAGAATGTGACTGCATAATGATCCAGTGCGAATTTCCTACTTTTATTATATGATTATAATGAATTATTTTATTACAATGAAACTTTTATTATAATGAATTATTATGGAATCTAATACGGTAAGATCATTTGTTCTGTGTTACTGACTGACTTTAAAACAATGCATTGTCTAAACTACTGGTTTGACAATACATTGTTACAGAGACTTGAAGTTTTGATGATATTTTTGTTTTATTACATAGGGGCGAATGGGTTGAAAACGTTTCTATGAAAGTTCTTGATTTTTTAACATTGCATTGGAAAGTTCATAGGCTATATTAAAAAAAGCAAATCCGCAAACTTTTCCGGTATCAGTTAGTTTTCTATATAGACCAACATATGCTGAACTGGAATTGTTTTGGGACTAATCTTTTTCTGTTTCTGTCTTTTGTATAATACAATAAACAGAACATAAAAACTTATGTACTTTTCGCAAATAAATTAGCCTTTTTTATCTCTCCTTAAACATGAGTAGTTTCCTACCTGTTATTATTATTACTAATGACACAGGTGTATAATGCATTTCGTCTATGAGCGAATTTTTTATGACTTATATAGTGCGAATTTTATATATGTATTAATGTAATTTTATATATTTATATTATATATAACAAGTAAATTCATATCCTCCTTAACCATCCATAAGGAAGGCCTGAGCCCCTGCAATGGGGACGTAAAAGTCATTTTGACTGTAGGTTAATGTAGTGTTAAATGCATCTTATCTTGGAGCATTACCGCGATTTTTCTTTCTTATACCTGTGGTTCCCAAACATTGTTCTGCCATGCATGGCCCGGAAATTTCACATTACCCTTTCGTGATACATTTAAGTCTCATAAACCCAATCTTTAGGTAAAAAAATAGCTTTAGGTAAAATAATGACTGATTTGATTTCAATAACTTCTCATATATGTATTTATTTTGCTAAATTTAATTGGAATCAAGTAAATTATGATCACCTGTAACCATTACAGCCGTCATAAAAAAAAGCTCAAGTGAACGTAATAAAGCTTTTTAAAATGCTCTTAGCTTGTAATAATTTACAACAGGAAAAACAAAAATTGAGCTTTCTTTTCATGTGCCTTGAGCCTATAATGTTCTTAATCACTTTGACGCACAAGTTCATAAACCAAAGAGTAAAATATATCATAAACAAGAGAAAAATAATACACCAAAAATAAACATAGCATGTGACAAATACGACAGTGGCAGGGGATGATTATTTTATCGTAATTTAAGTTTATCAAAATACTTACGGGTTAGGCACAATGTGGTGATGCTTTGCTCGCCATGTTATATCTGATCGCAAGACTAGTAACAATCATTATAAAATAAATAATGACTAGTAACAATCATTATTATTGTGTAAACTTAAAAAAACACTTTCAATCTCGAAACAGAATAATATTTCACGTTCATCCCTGAATTTTTATTGGTAGGTAGGTGGTATTTTTGTGGTATTGCGCTGTAGATACATACATTTGTAGTTGCGTTTGTAATTGTAGTAAACAATGTTTTTGTACATAAAAGTAAAATTCCAATTTTTGTTTTATGATTATAAATGTATTTTCTAATTGGGGTGTATTACGATGAGCGTTATTTGTGTTACACGTTGTATATTAATAGTATAAAGGTTTTATTAATACTACATACTTGATGATCTATTTAGTCCTTTTTTAGTGCGAACTATGGAGCTGCTACATATTTTTTACTTGAGTGTCTAAGTTTGAGGAGAGTTATGATAGTTTTATCCTAAGGTTAGATTCAACACAAGCCGGGAATTGATTTATTTAATTTTCGTTACTTATAACTATAGTACAGCCCAATGCGTTATTGAAAGCAAAACTAATCAATTAAATAATTTTAAAAACTTCATATAAAATACAAATTAACATTACATCATTAAATTAATAGTCAATAAATATTGATAGTTGATATATAAAATATAAATGACGGGATGTTGTGACCCGGTATTATATGTTGATAGCCCGGTATCCCCATACCGGGGGTCGCAAACCGGCAAATCAGAAACACTGTCTTATACAGTTCACAATGCTACTCTTGTTTGTAATGCATCGCCAGGTCTTTTGATATACCCACGGATACGCTGAAATGCATGACACAGACAAAATAATATTCTTATATAAATTGTTTTAAGTATTTATAACTATTGTTGTACCATTACACAGACTTGCACAGACGTTAACAGATACTCACGGATTCCAACAGACACGGCTCGGTGGTCGTCGCTATTCATGTCATTAAGTTTTTTGTGTTATGCCAGGTAGTGTGAATAGAGCGCACGGTGATTGTTGGCATCTGTTAGTCTCTGTTAATATCTTTTGGTGTCTGTTGACGTCTGTTGGTGTCTGTTGATAATCTGCAGATGTCTGTTGACGTTTTTCAGTGTCTGTTGACATCCGTTGGTGGTTGTGCCGGTATGTCTCTGGCGCACTCAAATGTCTGTAGATAAATTTATAATCGATTGTTTCAGAATAAAGTAATAGAACTGAATCCATCTGCGGCGCACATTGACATTGGTGACATATCGGAAAGGCAGGCGGTACGGAAAAACTTGAACTGCAAGTCGTTCAAATGGTATTTGGAAAACATCTATCCAGAATTGGAGACTGGAGACGAGACGGCATCCAAGAAAAGACTAGCTTCTCTCAATGATCCAGAGAAGAATAAATTTCAACCGTGGCACTCAAGGTATAGAAGTAGTATATGATTAATAGATTTTTAAATTAAATAATTGAGTAAACAATTTATATACATATATATATATATATATATATATATGTATATAAATTGTTTCTTCTTTTTATTACAGTCATTATTTTATAGTACTTAAATCATTACAATATTTATTAGATAATGTGTGTCCACCATAAAACACAGAAAGACATTTCCTTTCTAACCTCTTTTCTGTGTTCTGTGGTGTCCACTATTTCTGTATAGGTAGATGACAAATAAATAACTGTTATCTGACGAACACTAGTTATGAAGGCAAATTGTTTGCACAACAATTAACTTTGTGGAAAAAAATGTATTTGACTTTGGGAATCACAGTTTAAACTATAAGAAAATACCAATTTAAAGCAATATTAGTTGCTTACCATATTATTTTAGAAAAGATTTGGAACATAAAGCTATTAAGGGAGCAGGTCTATATCAGAAATATCACAATTGTATGTACATACTTAAACAGCAAGCTAAATAACTATTTGAAGTATATAATTTGCGAAAAAAGGTAACCAAGCCTCATAATATTCAATAGAAACGTTGAGGAATCAATAAAAGAACTGAGAATTTTGAAAAGAAATTGCAGGTCCACCTGCTTACTGTCGGTTCTGTAGAGTCAATAATTTATAGCGTTTTGAGGATTCGCTGTACGATCCATCATAATTTCCTGATCGATAATTCAATATTTAAATAATATTTTTTGAACATTTTCTATTTGGTTAATGTCTATTTTACATTATATGTTATCTATCCATAATTATACCCAAGCCGCGAATTCTATCTGTCTTTTTTTAAAATCATGTTAATTGAATATTGAAATGATATTGGTGCTGTTTTTCTTGTGTAAGATATTATATTGAATTTATCAGCGTTAACAAATAGTTGGTTTTCGATACAGTATTTATTTAATGAGTTTTAGTCAGTCTGAAGGATGTAGTAGCCACCTATATTAGAAATTACTCTAAGTATTTTTTTTTTGTATCGTTTGCGTACTGAAGATGGTAACTGTTTGGTTATCACCAACATCGTTTATATATATATATATATATATTGAGAATAGTACAGGTCCAAGGCTTGTACCTTGAGGTACTCCAGATGATAACGGCAAGAAACTCAAACAGTAACCCATAATGCAAACAGCTTGGTTGCGGTTCCGGATATAGGGATCAAACCGTCTTAATAAATTGCCAAGCACACTGAATATATTTCTGTAACATTATGTTCATGATTTACAGAAAACGAAATTACACGGACTCATTCCAATTACGTTTGAAGAACACTTCATATTGTGTACAAAGTTCCAAAGACATCAAGACTAAAGGTAGTGGATTAATACTTGCCAGCTGTATCAGAACACTAAACCAAGTGAGTTTACATTTTAAAATCACTCTTATGCTCTTGTCTTAAGTAGTTACACCAAAGAATCAATATGAAATATCTACTATTGGTAGAAAAGTGCTTGAATAATAGGTACATTAATCTCAAGGAATCTTTTTGTTTGTTTGGTTTTTATTGCGAGTCAATCTTTGTTCGATGATAACTCATAGTTCTAAAAGTTCTCCTTTTGCTTCTTCCACTTCGTTCCTAGTAGGAAAAAAAAATATTACCGACTGTTATTGAGAAATTGAACCATCTCACTATGCAATTTACTAGTCTTATAAAAGAAAAATTACTTCATACTATATAAGATAGTTTTTCATTTATCCTTTTAACAAAATCTAGAATTATTTTATTGTGTCAATTTTGCGTGGCATACTATATAGTGTCATGGAATTTCTCCTTTTTCGATATAATTTAGTTCCTTCTGTAGGAAAAACCAGTGCCCCAGCATTGGGGACATTAACAGGTTGGTGATGATGCTGATATATCCGACAAATATTTGTCTTTTACATATAATTAATTCAATTAACCTTTTCTCATTAAGAATGGAAAATATGCTCAGTGAAAAATTGTCGCTTCGAGTCCCATCTCAGAGTAGCTGGGGCTGGTGAGTTGTAAACATTTTTCAGTATAGCATTATGAATGCACAATTTAACAAATATAATAATAATATAATATAATTATTGACAGATATGGTTTGAAACGGACCGGCACGAACTAGTGTTAGGGCGTACACTTTGCCTCGATGCGGCTAACAACGTGGCGCCTATACTAGGCAAGTGCCATGAATTGGGCGGCTCTCAAGAATGGAAACACAAGGGTTCTGTGAGTATATATAATTTTAAATTTTTGATTATGAATGTAGTATATTAAGAGGAGGTTGACGACTTCTCGAAAGCGATCTTTCATCGTCTCGGGTTTCGTGGCTTAGGTTCCGGAAAGGGGAGCGTCGACGCGTTTGCCAGATATACACAGTCCGGTTATGTACAGTACAGTTTATTGTTCTTCCAAAATGTTATTATTCTCGATGACACGGAAACTTACCAAGCCTATTTAAAATTAGGTATGTTAGGATTTGAAAACAACCAAAACCCAAGGATTATTAAGGGTTGGGGTCTAGAACGAAGATAGCTCATTACCTCACACATGACATACAAATTTTTTCACAGTTGTGTTGCTTTTTATGATATCTATACTAATATTATAAAGAAGAATTGCGGGAAGTTGCGGGAAAACAGCTAGTGTTTTTAAAACCTGTTTAGGTACGGAACCGTGGACATTGAGCGAATTATATTTTATTTATTTTTGTAAATAAAGTGTATAGGATTTTTAAATTTATTGTGCATATTTTATTACATTGTGTTATTTACAAAACCATTTTTATTTTTCCACTAGAATTTTTGAGGTTATAAACAATATGAGATTCGCTGTCTCAATATCTTTTATACGGTCAGTTGCACAAACGTCCATTAAAGTTTAATGACGACTTTAAGCTCTAATGAATGTTCCAAATTTGAATATTTGTATGGGTAATGTGGCGTTAAGTTAACGAGATTTTTAATGAACGTTTGTGCAACTGGCTGTTAATCTCATATATCTATTTAATGAATTTAATCACCACCACACTTACCACACTTGATATGTCTTCATACAATAATATATATTATTGATGTTATATGTATGTTCTCAGTGCATTTTTTCGAATATCTAACTATAAAAAAATATAATCTGCAATAAAATAATTTCAATTTGTAATTCTAGGCTGGCAGCCCAATATACAATACGGCAGCTGGAATGTGTCTGGGTGTAGAGCGAGCTTACAGATCGGAACCTTTGCTAATGGTCATCTGCGACAATCAACCGACAAATCAGTGGGACATCGTTAGGTCTTAAACAATTTTTATTGGAATGTTGCAGCTTTATGAGGTTGTAGTATTTTTATAGACGAGTCCGAACCTCGATTAGAGTGCAACCCCTGGAAATATTCAAAGTGATAAGAAACTAATTGATTATCCTAATTATGAGTGGAAAACAGCTCAAAATTCACTGTCTTCGATCTCACATTTCTATCCACTGTAGATGAGCTGTTATGATTACTATTGAAGCTTCTTTGGTGAAATTATTAGGCTTTAAGAACAGATAGTTGTGTCACTGTGATCAATTATAGACTTTGTGCAGATGTATGTACGGTACTTTTTACTCTTCAACGAAGTGAAAGACCAAATGAAATAATCAGATTTTGTAGAAATGTCGCTTCGCATACTCATATTTTTAATGTTAATAATGACAATAAATTATAATAAAATAGGGGAAGATGTTATAAAATATTGAATATAGTGTACGTAGAAGTTTTAATTCTTTGAGGCCATAGATTGTTGCAATATTTGATTAAAGTTACGAGATCAAATTAGAAATTATTCAAATCAGAAAATGTGGATGGGATTCTATTTGGAAAATAATTTGAGGTAGTGGCTAGAAAATCAAGTTTACCAACAGTAAAACTAATATGTGTATTTCTTATATGTTTTTATTAACCAAATGTAAATTTTAGTTAAACAATGTTTTGTCTTTTGCTTCGGTGAATGTTTTTTATATATTTGTTCCATTTTAATTCTATCAGCTGATCTGATAATTCGTGAGTTTGCAACAAGATTTACATTTTTTAAAGCGTAAGGTTTACTTTAATGTCAACATTTTACACATTTAAAAAAAAAAAAAAAAAAAATAGAATAGGATTGAATCTCAATTGTAACATTCAATAGTTTTTACTGTGGCCAGCGTTGATCCATCCACAAGAATACATTTAATAGGTATTATTTAAATAGAGAATATAACGTCATATACCCAGATGCACATTATTGTGTGAAAATTATGTTTTGCTATATTTTTTGTGCTGGCAAGTAACTATAATTTTCGAGCCAATTTACAAATAATAATAGTAATAATACCATATACGCTTAGCAATATTCTAAAGGTAAATGATATCAAATTTAAGCTGACATATGATTATTAATAGATGTTGAATTTTATTCTTTTATAAATTTTTACACCGAACTCTGCTTAGTAAAATAATATTTATTTTCCTGTCTTATGATCTGCAGCTAAGTACTATTATTAAGCGCGTTTTATTTATTATATTAGTATGTGAGTTTAATTAAGTATAGAAATCAATATTTTATAGTGATATTTCATTTAAGAACTCATTCACAACAAAAGTACGGAAGCGCCTGCTATTAACTTATACGTATACGTATGTACATATTGTGACCATTCGTTAATTATGAATGAATGAACTGAAACTTGCTGCAAATGCGATCTGCTTCGGGTTTCCGTTTGACCTTTTGATGTGGAGGAGCTTTTTTTGTTAAATAATACGAATCTCCTCTAAAATGTTATATTCAAATCGTCCTTTTATAACACAAAAATATCGTTCCTATTTTAGTCATATTTAAGTGACTGTATCGTTTCTGTTATACAAACAACAGCACGAGACTAACAATTTTTTTCACTTGATTTTTAACATTAATGGCCTTTTTACACTGTTCCGTAACACCCACTTGTGGTAAGCGGGCTAATTCTTTAGTTTTGTTTTATTGGTCGGGCATAGTTTAATTGACCAATGACGCGTCGAGTGTAATTAAGCCGTAAATGAAATTTGTTGATTTTTGTTTCCATATAGTTCAGCAACGTTAAGTCTAGTATATAAAGATTTATTTTATTTTTATTAGAAAAAATGTTTGTTAAATTTTTCATATTATTATTACATTTTACACAACGAATACTATAGTTATATGTCGCAGAGAAGTGTTAAACACAGATTTCATCAAATACCTAAGCAACATGCTCAGTTCAAGAAGGGTGCTAAAATAAACTGCTTTTCAAATTGCATTGTTACTTTAAACATTTTACAAAATTTCTTGAAATCCAATAAGCAAATGAATTATTTTATCATGCCCCTGCGACATATGCTGACGCCATGATGCAAATGTTGTTTTATATTGTCACTATCGGGAATCTAAGTGTATTAAATATTTCAAATCTACTTGATTTATTGTTAGATGTACATTTTATGTTGTGTTTTTATCATAGTTATAATGGTTTTGTGACGATTATTTTGTTGCAGAAAAATGTAAGTAAATCGTTAAAATAAACTCTATTGGAGACATTTCTCCAAATTATTTTTCTATCGTACATAAATATTATATAATATATGTATACCTGGTGGTGCGAATTACGATATAGATGAGTGAAGTTATTATAATATACGCAGCTGTATCTATTTTGTATCTATATATTTTTTGTTATTAGTATAAAAAGATAATAGCCGAGAACTACATTACCTCATTCAATTAACCACTTTGCTGTTGGAGTAAAATATATATTTATTATATTAAGTATACATAACAATTATATACATTAAGAAACTGAAGAAAAAGAAAATGCTTTTTAAAATACAATGAAGTATAATAAAGTACAACGTTATTATGAGAGCAATTTGTTTTTACGCAACTTTCTATATTCTTCATTCACCTTGTTTCTGGAATGGCAATTTAAACATTATAAAAATACGTATAATACATTGTTATGCAGATATATATTATACTACACTCATTCTGAAAGTACATCATTACTAATCTAAAAACGAGCTAAATTTTATTGTAAATTCACTAAATGCAATTCGGAACGGTTTATTGACATTTACTCTTTAGTTTGTTGACTGTCTGTGACTGAGATTTGACAAATTGTGATAGCAAACGACATTAGTATAACGATTATATATCCGTCGGGAGTATGTATTGAATACTTAACTGGCATAGTGTACGTACTTTAATGTATACTCGTTGAGTAATATATGCCACACTCCCGTTGTACAATATATAACTATTACATACTTATCAACAAATTACATTCGTCAATTTCATCTATAGATATTAAGATATCTTTGAAATATCTAAATAAATAGGTACATATAAAGGTATTGTAGTGTAATATGATGGTGATTTTTTGTTCATTTTCTGTGATCAAATGCTGATATAAGATATTAATTTCTTTTAGTTGTATATTAATAGTGTTTGGGGACTTTTTTATAATTAAGAAGTATATTTATAAAATGTAAGATTTTATCAACAGAATAGTGTTAATTAGTTATAAACATTTATACACAATTTAATTTTTTTTTTATCGAGAATCGTAAAGGCGAGCTTGTATCATTCCATAATAATATACATACAAATTATTGTATGAATAAGTTAACTCATGTTGTCTTATTCTAATAATTGCATGTCGTTAAAAATAACTTTAAAATATCGTATATATTTTTTGTGGTTTTACTGATGATTTAATACGTCAATTTGCAAATATGGACAGGTAAATTTCAATTTCGATTTCATAAAAAAGAAAAGGATTTTTTTCCCTTAGGAGGAAAGGAGAGGAAATAACATAGAGAAGGCACAGTGACATAAATGTTGCTATGTGTGTGTGTCTACCTGTGTGTGTTGTGTTAATGCCGTAATAGTCGAACTGTATATTTCAATGACATTATATCTAGACGCCTCATATACTAACGCTACTGCAATGGGGGTGTAAACAACTTTTTTATATTTTTATTTTATAGATATACATGAAATATATCTAAAAAAGTATTTTAATATATCATTCATATAATAAGTAAAAATCTTAAAATAAATCGCGGCACATGAGTCGCGGCACTCTCAAACGAACATTGCTCTATTTAGGCATAACTGACGGCGTGACGTGACAAAGAGCATAAATATTTGGTTTTTTCATAATTGGTTTAAGTAATATTATAAATATAAAGTGTGATAACTGGTAATAGTATATTAAACATTACAGGAAAAAAAGAACTTTGTTTTCGTTATCTGTCTCCGCTCGTATTTAAAATGGCGTAAACTTGAATTACATATGAGCACATACAATACAATAAACTGCGCACGAAAAAAGAGACAGAAGTAATATAATCATACGGTATAACTGTTGTAAGAATGTTGGTTAGCGAATATTGGAACTAAGTGAAGCTCGGGAAATGCCTTACTATTATGTTGCCATTATTCCACTCGGATAAAGCATCTAGCATCTTATTAAAATTAGATGGACTCCAATCACCTTTTTTCCTTCTAATGTTGCAAGCCACCGTTTTAGTGTTGTAACATAGCTATTATATACTAAATATTAAATGATTCATTAAATAACCTAATGAAAATCCGTTATGTGATATGACTCACACCAAGGGTTAGTCCGTTATGTGATATGACTCGTTGAGTTTTTTTATAACGGAAATAATTAATGTCCCGTTAAAGTTAGTTTTGCTAAAAAGACAAGGTATTTCGAACGTACCAACTTCATTTTGCGTAATTTTAACCATGAAAAAATAAGGTTTTATTTAATTAATCTAATTTTCTAACTATAAGGTTATCTAAAATGTAATGTATGAAATGTGAATCATACCACATAGTCATCACGCCTATCACTCGGACAAAAATATTTTTTTATTTGCGATAAAGTGGCAGCCCAGCTAATTTCAGTAAAAATCAGAGTATAGGAAGTGACACGGTGTGTTGGTTGATACACGTCTTTTTTGTGTTGTGCTTATTTTAGACATTTTGCTTGCTCTTTGTTGTGCTATCTCGCTATTTGTTGCTGTGGATTATTACCTGTACGCGTTTGTATAATTATTTAAGCCCTTAATTAATATTTAAATTTGTTTTCTGTATGAGCAATGGATCGGGTTCCTCCAGATTCTCCAGATCCTCCTGATGGAGAGTTGGGGTTGATTTAATCTCCGATGGAGGATCTGAAATCGCCGATATTTTGACAATCCGGCACAAAACGGCGTATTGAATTCGAGAATAATTAAAAGACTGTCATAAGTCTTATACTGACCTAGATTAGGGCCCATTTATTTTAGACGTTTCAAAGATTGAGTCAAATCCTTCAACTGGAACTAATAGTCGACCTATTATTTTCAGGCAATTCTTAAAGCAAAACAAAATCACCAATATAGTTAAAGATGGTATCAAAAAAATTGGTCGCAACCGTATTGCTGTAGAATTTAAAACGGGTGAGGATGCTAATAATAACTTTTGAATTAATCCTTTATTAGCTTGTTACAATTATACTGTAGTAATTTTTACTTTTAATGTTACACGCATGGGTATAATAAGAGGCATTCCTTCGGAATTATGAATGGACGAGCTGGTTGTCTCTTTAGTTGTTCCTGATTACTGTGGGATGGTTCTAAAAGCCAGAAGCCTCAATAGAAAATGAGTTTTAGATGGTCAAGCATCTTGGATCCCTACCCAATCGGTTGTTTTGACATTCAAAGGACAAAATCTCCCAGAAAGAGTTTTTTTCTTTTTATACCTCTATTTCCGTTATCGCATATCAACTCCCAATTATCCAATGCAACTATTGTTGCCGTTTTGAATATATCAAATCACAGTGTCTGTCTAAACCGAGATGTTATCGTTGTGCGCAGCCGCATATGGGGGAGAGTTTTAATGTTACAGAAGACATTGCTTCGTGTTTATACTGACTGCTCTGGTAAACACTTTGCTACTAACATCTGTCCTGAACATTGTCGTCAAAAGTCGATCAAAATTAGAATGACTCAAGATAGTATTTCCTTCCAAAAAGCTTCTGTTTTATATCCAAATGTAAAAAGGCTGTACTCTGAGTCAGTAAACT